CCCTTTTTAGTTGTTGAATGCCTAGTGAAATAAATACAATATGCCAAACTTTATAAACTGAGGAGGGGGAAGGGCAGCCCTATGAGGAGGCGGGTGGGAATCCCAGGGAAGGAAGAGTGGGGGAGGAGGAAAGGCAGAGTGGGGAGAAAGAAGGTGAGGTATTGCAGGTCAGGAACCCAGGGTGACCTTTCCAGAGTCCCCTCCCCACCCACATGGCCGCACACAGGTCAGTTGCCCCTCTGTTGGAACCAACCACATGTGCACACGGCTAAGCTGCAGAGGAGACATGAGACCCCAGTAAAGCCACAAGTCCACGGCTCACCCCAGAGTGACATGTCATCAGTGGCCCCCAGGCACCACCTGCCATGGACTGTGTCCCCTGGCTGTCTTGGCTTCCTGGACATGGCAACCCATGTCCACCTTGGGGCCTGGGACCAGCTGCTCCCTCTGCAAGGAGCTTCCTGCCTCCAGATGTCCAAGGAGCTCAAGCTCTACCTTCCAGTGAGGCTGCTCTAACCACTCTGTTCTAAACGGAAGCCCCCCACACTCCCCCCCTCCTCCCCCAGCACCTTCTAATTACCTGTTCTGCTCATTCCCTCCCTATTTCTGGATTTTGTTTACACTCCCAGAACCTGGGCAGGGCCTGGCACACTACTTCTCCACACGCGCTCAGTGGATGGGACGATGATCAGACATCTCCCCACATTATTTTGGTTCTTCACCACCTTTCCCCAAGTCCCTCTCAGGTGAGGGGTGAAGGGCAGGCAGCACCTCAGAGCATGGGTTTCTCTCGGCCCCGGAGGTCACAGTGAGGTGGTGAGGAGGGGCAGGCCCGGGCTATCCTGCCTTGGGCAGGGTTCTTAGCCCCTCGGAGTCTTGCTGCTACACACATGACAATTTCCACACTCTCCTCGGGCCCGCTTATGTCTAATCGCCCCTCCACATCCACCTTGCGTCCTGGCGCCTGGGCCCCACCACTCCTCCCAGCCTCAGTCTCCACCTCTGTCCTATTTGGCCTGCAGACCCATCCAGCACCAGTGTCCTATGAAGCGACATTCTTCTGCCAAGCCCCCCGCCACCTCCCTTGCCCTGGCTGTGGGTGCACAGAGCACTGGGCCACGACAGGTTCCCAAGGCCGGGGCACCCTCCCCATTCTAAAGCAGGCCTGAGACGCATTATCATTCTCCAGCGCCGGCCCTGGCGTCTGTCACATTAGGCTGTGTTTATCATTGTTATCCCTGCAATAAAATGCCTGTTTGCAGCTGGGATTCCTCTTCACTGGGTTCCCTTGGGGAACTCGGGGGCCTTGCTCTGGCCATCCCTGCGGGCCTGGGGAATGGTGTGCCCCCTCGGGCCTGACAGCCTGCCCTCCTCCCACTGTCCAGGGCCTAGAAAACTGGGCAGTCAGCACTTCTGGCCAAGGCACATGGCCACAGCCTGGTGAGGGTGGCAGGCTAGGGCCAGGACACGAGAGCCTCCAACATCAGAGCTGTAGAGGCTCAGGGGTTCCCTGTGGGAGAACATTTACACCCCTAGGCAAAAGCCACATGCATTACAGGTAAGCTCAGAGCTGCTGGGGGTGCGCAGCGGATGGGCGGGCATACGTGCATGGAAGCCTTCTCATAGAGGCCTGCCGGCCCCCGAGCTACCCAGGGCCCTGGGGCTCTGGAAACCCAACCCCAGTCAACCCGCCACGGGAAGATGGGTTAACTGAGGTGCAAGTCAGTTTAATTTAACTCAGCATCACCTGAGTAGGTGGGCATGGGGGTGTCTAGCTCTGCGGTGGGAGACTCATGGGGGGAGGCGCCCACTGCTGGCCCTGCCAAAGGAGGCTGCCCTGTCAGGAGGCCTGAGGTGAAGGGCAAGGGCAGGGTGAAGAGTTCTCCCTGCCCCTGCCCTGCCTCATCCTCATGGCCAACCTGGTGCCTGGTGCCCTCAGCTCCTCAGGGGGCTGCCCACGGAGCCACCTGCTACTCTGTGTGTGACGCCATATGAGGTTAGGGCAGGCCAAGTGGTTTAGATGGCAGGGAGCCACAGAGGGGCCCGGCCAGCATCGGGGGCTGCCAAGCTAGCAGGCCAGCTGCACCGGGCGTCTCATGGGCCAGGCCCATAGCCCGTCCTTGTGCCAACCACACCCACACTGGCCCTCACTGCCCACTCGCTCAGCCTCTCCACACCTCTCTCCAGGCAGTCCCAGGTGCCCCAACCCCTGAATTGGGCTGCAAGAAGCCTGGGAGGGCTCATGGGCCCTCCTGCTGCAGGACATGCCTGAGTGGGGACCCCAGGGAGCCAACTAGCCCCAGGCAGGACAGCTGGGAGCAGGCAGGAAGACAGTGGCTGGGGCTGGAATGCAGGCCCCACATCCCCAGGCCAGGGGTCCTCACCCCACACTATCCTACTGGCCCAGGCCGATGTCCCCTTTCAAGTCTGGTGGGCCCTGGACAGCCCTCAGTCTCAGGTTCTCCTGTCCCTGGCCTGCCCAGCCTCTAACATCAGGCCCAGGGCCGATGACTATGTTGTCAGTCCTTCCCCGGACAAACTGACAGAGCACCCCACCCCCACATGCACCAGCACAGCACTCGGTCCTGGGGCCCAGCAGTAAGCAGCACAGGGCAGAAGACTCAGACACATGACGATACACCCCAGGAAGAGGAGACCTCATGGCAAGGTGGCCAGTGTTGTGAGCCAGGCCACAGGACACCACGGGCAAAAGCAGGCCGGACCCAAGGTTGCATCTCGAGCCCCCCAAGGACTAGCAGGGACAGTGGGAAAAGCAGGTAGCTTCTTGCCTGGGAGTGGTAACAGTGCCCCCCCTCCCCGGGGTGGTGCCGCGAGGCCCACCTAGATCTCTGGGCCCTCCTATCAGCCTGGGGTACCTGTCCCCCAGGGCTGCCGGCCTGCAGCATACTTCACATCAGCGACCTTCTCCAGATGACTGGAGGGGCCAACAGCCAACAGCTGACTGGTACAGGGGGCCAGAGTCCAACTCCCTGCCTCACAGTGAGACGGATCCCATGCAGTCTACACTCTGCAGTTCCCCCACAGGGTGAGGCTGAGGCAAGACTCTGCCTGAAATGGCACCTGTGCCTGGCCCCCTCCCCTTTCCTCCCCTGCTTATTCACCCGCTTAGAGGTGTCTCTCAAGAGCATACCCTCTACCCGCCTTGCATCCACATCCCTGTCTCAGGCTCTACATCCGGGGAAGCTGAGCTAAGCAAGGCCCTTCGAAGGCATGCATGACATGAGTGGGTGCAGGCAAAGCACTTAGGAGAGCGCCTGGCACCCAGGGCACACTCTCTGGACGCGGTCACTGCTGTTACGGGGCCCGGGCACTCTACAGCCCAGACGAAGAGCATCCTAATGGCCCGAGAAGGTGGCACGCCATGTGCAGGGAGCCCTGTCTAAGCTGAGACCTGAGGTGTGTGAGGTCAGAGAAGCATGGGGGCAGACAAAGGCAGGAAAGGGGGGGACAAGGGCCAGCTCAGGGCCTGGACACCAGGAGAGGTAGCAGGAAGGGCACAGGAAAGTGAAAGGAGGCACCGAGACGGCACATTACCCGCTCTCCAAAGTGCTCCTTGGCACAGAGGAAAGACGTGGGTTCAAATTCTGCCTCGGCCCTTCTCTCCAGATGGAAGCTCATCCACAAAATGGGTATAATGATGCCAGCATAAAAAAAATATTTAGGCCATTAAATTAAGTCATTTCTTAGTGAAACACACAGCAGAGCCCTTGGGACAGAGAGCTGGGCAAGGACCGCTTCCTGGCGCATGCACGTGAATGCATGCACACATACACACACATACACACATACACGCGTGCACACGCATGCACGCACACCCAGAGCCCACACACATGCCCCGCGTACCAAGGTCTGAGCACAGACAGGGGGTCCACTGGCTCCCCGGCCTCCACCACACAGCCTGCTGTCCAAGCTCTCCGCACTTGGAAGCCAGGGCTGTCCTGGCACCACGACTTCCTTCTCATCCCCTCACAGTGCCGCAGTCAGCCCACAGAACAACAGCCCTTCAAAATCTCAGCCCAACTGTAGACATGCCTGGCATCCCCCCCGCTCCAAGGATGTGACCGGCTGTGACCTGGAGCTGCACCCTGGGAGCCACCTCGGCCAAGCAGTGTGCTTTAAACCCCCCGGTCTCTGCAGGCTCCAAGGCAGGGCAGCTCCCCTGTCCCAGGCTGCCTGACCACAAGGACAAGCTGGGAGATTTGGCACCTCCCTCAGGCACCCCTGCAGTCCGTGGCAGATCTGGTCACCAGCACCCTGCCTCCAGCCCCTCTCCCAGGCGCTGCTTCCCAGCCTCTTTCCCATCTCCAGGGCCAAGGAGGAGGCACCTGTGCGTGGATTTCTCAAAGACCGAGGGCTTTCCAGACAGGGTCGGCTGGTGGTGGCAAGCGACACGTTTGCAGGGCCACAAGTATCCCTCTTTATATTTTTATCATTTAATTCCATTATAATCTAATTTCTATTATCTCTTCTTTGATCCACTGCATATTTATACATGTGTTTTAAATTTTCCAAATATTAGACTTTTTAAAGTTATGTTTTGTTATTAATTTCTATCATTATTGCATTGTAGGTAGAAAACATTGTTTGAATCACAGTGGGTTTTTTTGGTAATCCTTGAGGTGTTTTTACAGCCAGTTTGCAGATAGTTGACCTCGTGGTTCGGCAAGTACCTGTGAGCACCCCAGCCACTGCATCGCTGGGGGCGTGGTCCAGGTGGTGACTCATGCCTTGTGGGTGGCTCCCCTCCAGGCTCTGCCCCAAACGCCCCCTCCCCCACATTCTTGGAAGTGATCTGGCCACCCTGGCCTTTCCCAGAGCAACAGCTTGGACTCTGGCCAACCCTGCTCACTGTCAATCCCCCCTCCTAAATCCTTGAGAAACCTCACTTGCTGACTCAGCAGTGGGGGACCCGGGGACCGGATGCTCCCAGGTCACCCACTCCAGCAATCACTCACAGGAACACTCACAGACTCGCTCACCTTGATGGAGGTCAGCTGGGCTCCCAGGCCAGAGGAGGGAGGGGTTGCAGGGTATGGGAGGCCCCTTCATGGGGTGGTGTCCACGGGCAGGGTGGAAATGAGGTGGGCTCTCCCGAGCGCAGCCCTGATGTTCTGCTCCTGGCCTCATCCACCCAGTAGGGGCCACCCACTATTAATACCAACAATAATAAAATGAATAATTGACGGCCTCCTGCTTGCTCTCAGTGATTAACTCATGAAAGCTGTGGAGGCTCCCCCTAGGAACTCCATGAGCTCCTTCTATGTGAGCTTCCAACCCCATCCAACTCTAACCACCACCCCCACCCCCAGCTGGTTCTCAGGCCAGCCTCCCCCCTGCATCCCTCTCCCTCAGCTCTGAAGGCAGAGACCTGGGTCCCAGCAAGGGGGACCAACCCTCCCCAGTCACCACAGCCAGGGCTGTGAAGCTCCAGGCTCCCACCCAGCGCTGCATGTCGTTACCTCATGCGATCAAGACCATAGCCTCAGAGGAGGAAGGGAACCCAAAAGTTCACAGTTCACAGCTGGAAGGGGCTTGGACACAGAACCAGTCTTCAGGAAATCCTAGGCAGGAGAAGTTTGGGCCTCTGAGCCTGGGTTTCTACAGCAACAAAATAGGGTTCCTCACCCCAGGAAGTGCCGGGGCTGGGGCTGGGCACGTCCCCCCACGTCCCAAGTCAGAAGCCTCCCTGGGTCTGCCCCAGTGACCCAGCATGGGCTGGGATTCAGGCCACACCCAGATGGAATCCAGAGACTTCATGACATGCACATGGGAAGGGTCTGAGTACCAGAGGCCCAGAGAGCCTCACAGGGAGAGAGGGTCTGGGGAGGGGTCCTTGCCGGTCAGGCAGCCTTGGGGGTGGGGAAACCGGCTCAGCTAATAAACCCATCAGAACGGGCACACCCTCTCCCAGCCCCCTCAGCTTCTGGGTGAGCCAGCCTCCTCCACGAAAGCTACTCTTTGTTAACAGTGTTGCCATGGCAACCAGATCCAGGGAGAACTCTCTCTTCAAGGTAGAGTCTGAGGGTGACACTTGGAGAAACGGAAGTGGTGGTGACAACAGGCAGGGGCCTGGCCTCCCAGCCCTACCCCCACTACTCCTTCCTGAACTAGTCCAGCTCCCCGGAGACTGCCCCTTGCCGGTCCCAGAGCTTTGGTTCTGCTCCTCTCTCCTCTCCCTGAGGGGGAACAGCAACACGGTCCAGACCAGGCGCCCCCGGCCCATGTTCCCACACAGATCTGCGTGTCTCTGCCCCATCACACACACAGGCTCATGCTTTCGCACGTATTCCAGGAAGGCTTGCTGAGTCTACCAGCCCAGCCACCGTCTCAGAGCTGAGGGGGAAACAGGCCAAGTGTACACTTGACTCCAAGAAATCACAGACAATTACACAGGGGAGACATGCTGCAGAGGCCCAGGGCACTCTGCACGGCACACCCATGCCAGAAGGCACCCCCCAGGAAGGCTGGGGGCCAACTAGGTGGGGATAGGGAGTTCTGCCTGGGAACAGAAGGTTCCGAGCATTTTGACAAAGAGAAGGTTAAAAAGGTCACCTGGCTGTGGTGTGGGGAAGGAACTGCAGGGGAAGGAGGCCGCTGCAGGTGTGCAGGCCAGAGGGGGGCAGCCTGGCCTGTGGAGAGAGCAGCAGGCAGGGGAAGGGGGTGGAGGAGAGGCCTGGGGTGACGGGCTGATCACGCAGTCACTGTGAGGGCAGACCTGGCAGAGGCAAGAGGGAGGCCTTGGCCATCCCGACTGCTCAAATGGTGAGCCTGGAGCAGGTGAGGTTCGGGGGCACAGTGGACAGGCTGCCCGTGGTCATCTGAGCAGCATCTAGCCGGCCCGGGCTGCACCGCTGACAAGAGCCCAGAGGACAGGCCGTGCTGATAGGACTTAGAACGCGATCAGCACCGAGGAGGGAACAGGAGCCGTGGCTGGGGAGGAGAGGGCGTAGGTCCAGGTCCTGAGGAACAGGAATAGTGAGTGGGCCCAGGAGAGGAGGGGGAGCCTGCAGAGAGGTTTGCAGGGTGGCCAGAGGACTTGGAGGCACAAGGGGGCAGGGGGGCCTGCAGAGCCCCGGGGGACAAATGCCTGGGAGCAGGAGCCATGAACACCAAGAGGGCCGTCGATGTCCACAGGCACCTGAAGACCATTTCCCAGGAGTGACGAGGGCGCGCCAGATTGGAGTGGGCTGGGAGCGAGTGGGAAGTGAGGATGTGGAGTGAGCAAGCAGAGAACACGGCTTCAGAGTCAGCCTACTTGCAGGGGAGGAGAGAAGGGGGAAAATAGCTGGAGGGGGAGATGGCAGAGAGCAGTTTGTTGTTGTATTTAAGCTGAAGAAGCTTTATGAAAGTAGGGGCACCTAGGTGGCTCAGTCAGCTGGCTGAGCGGTTGAGTGTCAGACTCTTGATTTCAGCTCAGGTCATGATCTCAGGGTCATGGAATGGAGCCCCAGGTAAGGCTCCACACTCAGCGTGGAGGCCGCTGGAGATTCTCTCCCTCGCCCTCTGCCTCTCTCCCTGCTTGTGTGCTCTCTCTCTTGCTCGCTAAATGAATAAATAAAATCTTTTTAAATTTTTTAAAAATTTTTTAAAAAGGAAGTAATATCACCTTTGATGACATCACCTGTCAACTAGGGCAGCAACCCCTCCCCTGTGAGAAAGTGATACAAGAGCTGGACAAATGGAATGAAGTGCCCCCTGAGTGCCTAATGTCTTGCCCCCAGGGCTGGCTCCCTGCCTCAGGGGGCTCACAGTGTGTGGCCCACAGACAAAATGGGGTGTTCTCCTCTAAAGAGCCAGGGAGACTCCGCGAGGCCCAGTGCCAAGCCTCTCCTTGAGCTGGTGCTTGCCCACAGCTCCCTGAACTCACCCTGCGCGACAGAGAACCCCACAGCTGCTCAGAAGGGACATGGCAGGCTCCGAGCTCCCACCACCACCCACCACGCAGGGCAGCAAAGTCCCGCAGCCTATCCCCCCAGACCCAGCATAGGCGCTCATGGTGGGGAAGTGGGGTGAGAGGCTCTTTTCTCCTGAGCTATGTCCACATCCCGACACCACTCATGGATCCTGAGAAGTTTCCCTAGCAAATAAGTGAGGTGGGTAGAAGCTTCCCCAGACAGGATCACCGGGGGATGCCCTGAACCATACTCAAAGGCACCTACGTGGTTCTTCGGAAATGCTTCTGCAGACGAGAGCATTCAGACACCTGAGGCCATGCTACTGTCCCCCCCTCAGGCAGGGTGGGCAGGTGGGCAGGCAGCAGTCATCCCGCCACCCCCTTGGGGTGGATCCGTGTGGATCCTAACACTTTCATACTTTGGCCAGACACCTCTCACAAGCCTCTCTGAAGCCCGTCCCAGGAGGTGAATCCCCAAGGCCCTCCATTCCCCAGGATGAGCCCTGTTCCTCCGTACCTGGTCCCTGTCCCTCCCAAGCTCTGAACAGGCCAAGACATAATGGGGCTTTCAGGTTTTCCCTTCCATGGTTCCTGCCGTGCCACCGCCAGGCTGACATCAGCTGACCTTCCCAAACCCTGCTCCAGGGTTGTCAGATTAGGACTGCCTGGTGTCCCCAGTCCAGGGACATTCTGAATGGATCATAGCCCCTTCTGTGCCAGCCAGACACCCCCTCTGTTTACTCTCCGACACATAAACACACAGTCCCACTGCCCCAGGCTCTGGGCCCAGGAAGAGGTGAGAAGGGCACATACTGAAGAAAGGGCAGAGCATCCTCCCCAGACCCCTACAGGTCAGGGTACCCTGCCTGACGTGTGACCAGTGGGTGTCAGAGGCCCTCCCCTCATGGCCATGGGCCTGGGAGCTTCCCCACCTGATGTCACTTCAGCACCCGGTGATCACAGGCCTCCCTCCCTCCTACCCTGCTTCCTCCTCAGATTCTGCCTGGAAGACAAGTTGCTAAGTAAACACTCACCCACAGGAGGGAGGTGGGCAAGTGAGGGCAAAGGAACTGAGAGGCAGCCTGGAGTGGGTGGGAGTTATAGGAGGCAGATTTCTGCTCAACATTTGGAAGCTCTGAGAGAAAAACAGCCAGAGCAGACCAGGGCTGAAGCAGATGGCCTCAGGAGGGAAAGAGGGAGGGAGGAGGAGTCCCAGCAGGGGGCAGCCGGGGGCGGGGTGCTCTGGACCCGGAGAAACACTGCTGTGATCACCAGGACAGGCCCTGATCCGCATCCCCAGTCCTCTCTTCCACCATGGCCCTGGGACCAGCAGGCCCTGCTGGGGAGGTCCGGAGCCCCTCTTCTGGGGCAGGGTGATGCAGAGGTGCACATCCTACACCAGCCTGTGCCAGTGCTCCCACTTCTGAGGACTGTGGTTGGATGCCCCGAGCCCTGCACCTCACTTGGCCTATTTGACAAATTTGGCTTCTGCGAAACATGCGCCTAGAGAACAGGGTTCTGTGGTTAAAAACCAAAAATCAACCAGAGCTATTCCAATATGGCCCATTCAACCCATCATTCTGCAGCTGGGGAGACAGGTGTTCTCTGGGGTTCTCAGGCCATACCTGAGCATCCCCGCCCCCCGCTACTCTCCTCTGAAGGACCCAGGGGATGGACGAGCGGGTCCGTTCCTCACCTGGTCAGCCTAAGGGGGCCCCTTGGGTCGGGATGCCCTCCCCACTTGGCCGGGCCCACCAGCCCCCGGCCTCACTCAGGTCAGCCCAGCACGAATGCAGGCGGCGCTGGTATTTCTCCCCCACCCTCCGCCGCCTGCAGTTGCTAAGTTACACCAGAAAACCCTCTGCTCTGTGTGAACTGTTCCATTTCCACAATTTGCCAGGTGGAAGGGAGCCATCAGGCTGGCAGTTCAAGGATGCCTCCCAGAGAAAAACAAACTTGCTGGCTGGCTCTCGGGCCCCCATGGCATACCTGGAACCACCTGCCTGCGCCCCCAAACCCAGGAGCCACGTGCAAGAGCACACAGCTGCCCTGGGAGGGTGTCAGCACGCGGGTCTCTACTGCTCCTTCCCTTCTCAGGGTTCTACTGCCACCCCCTACCCAGCCATGACCCCCCGCCGTGGGCTGCTGGTCACTATGACCCATGTCCCTAACAACAAAGAAAAGCTAGAGGGGCACAGAACCCATCCACGCGTCCAGAGCCAAGGTCTTCCACTTCCTCCCACTCTGGAGGCCCTCCTCCTGTTCTGGGCTGGGATCCTGAGGTTTCAATGCAAAGTGTCCCTGGATGTCAGGGCAGAAATATCCCTAAAAGTCCCTGAAACCATTTACAGATGGGGAAGCTGAGTCCCTGAGAGGCCCGCAGCCTGTCCGCAGTTCAGAAGTCAAGACCTGTGGCCTCCTGACTCCCCAGCTCCCTACTCATAACAAGAGCTGCTGCTTTGCACTCTAGGCCTCCTCCTGGGGAGAGAAGGGCCTGGACCCAAGCTCGGCTGCACTGGGCAAGACTGTGTCCAGAGGCAGGGGGAAGACCCCTGAGGGTCAGAGCAGAACACTGCCTCTTTGAGGCTCCCCTGAACACCAACCTGCCTCTATATGTCCTGGTGGCCACCTGGGCCCTGCCCTTGCTCCAGAGGATGGGAGAAGAATGACAGCAGTGGGGAGGGTGAACCAGATGGGGCTCACAGCTCCAAGCAGGGAACCAGGGTGCCTGGCCACCACCACATCTCAGCCCGCAGGTGGCTCCCAAGAGGCAGGCAGCCTCCCTGTAAATATCCAGCAGCTCCAGCGCTCAGAAGCAGCTAGAGATGCAGGGGGCAAGGGCCTGCTGCGTGTCCTCCCCAGACAGCAGGAGCCCCCTCCCCCCTCACACACACGCAATCCGGAACCAGCTGCACCTTGCAAGGCCTGGGGCAAAGAGAGCACGGTCCTTGAAATGACCCTTGCCCACGGTGCAGAGAGGGGCATCTCGCCCTGGTCGTCTCCCTTCAAATGCTGAGCTCACGCCCCACTTCCTCGCCACACAGCAAGGGCGTGAGATGCCACCGCGGGGCCCAGAATGCAGACAAGCAAATGGAAACTTCCAACTGCGCAGCCCCGAGCTCCTCAGATTTCCCAGCCCCCTCCCCCACGCCAGGCCCGGGGCAGCGGACCTGCCCGCCGGTGCCCCCGCCCGCCTGCCGAGAGCACTCCCGCCACGCCCAGGCAGAGACCGCCCGGTGCCCCGCAGGCGCTGGGGGCCGGGGGTTCCTGGCGCTGTCCAGCCCGGGGCGGAGTTCTCGGCAACTCCGCGCCGGGCTCCCGCACGCCCCCCTGCACGCGAGTCCCACGACCCGTGCCGGGAGCCGGTGCCCCGACCCCGCGACGGTCACACCGGGCGGGACCTGGGGCCCGCGTACGCCCCGCCCGCGCCGGCCACCGGAGGGGACGGCCCGCGGGAGACATGGAGGGACCAAGGGACTGAGGATAGCGGTGCCCGCTGCCTACCTCGGTCCGGGCCGGCGTAGCTCCCGCGCAGCCCTCGCGCCGCAGTCGGGCCCCGAGCAACGCGCGGCCCGCGCCGCGGGC